TTATCTATTTGATGATGGAAAATATAATTAAATCATTATGTAAAAAAAATCAATCAAGAACTTAAATTGGGTGCTTTCTTCTAAAATCTTAATTAGAGGTCAACAACATAGGTGTTGGCTAGTAGGCTGTGGCTACAAACCTCCTTTTATAATACGTTTATATTTTGTACTTTTTTTTTCCTCAATGTCTTCGCACGGCTTGTGCATTTAGCCAATGTCAAGTGTTAAAAATGTTTACAATCTATAGCACTCGTGGTCAAAGTATTATATCAAGTCAAAGTAAGTGGCAGTCAAGTCAATCCCCCTTTCCCTGTGTTTCAGTAAATGTGTGGGGATTGACTGGAACCTCCCCGTGGACTTCTTGAGGGAACGTCGAAAGACACTTTCCGCTATTTTGTTTCACTTGCCAACACTTGTGCATGTTCCCGAACACTTAGTGGTTAATAATCCACCGTTATTAGACACTAACATCCGCCACAACACAATTTTTAACAAGAAAAACAAAACTGCTAAAGTGACGCTTTCCGATCCCGCCAAAAAGTCCTATTTTGTACTTGCTTTACTTTTCTATGTCACTTTTTGACACCATTATTATTCTTGATAGACTGTTGTTGTTATTGTCTTGTCACTATTACTGCTTACAAACATATTGGAAATATGTATTATATTTTATTTACTGCTACGTGTCGTTTTCCTTCATTATTCCCATTTAATTTATTACAGTCCACCGCTACACAACAACCGGTATTATTTAATTATATATGAAACGTAATTTTTCTAAGTTTAATAGGCAAGGCGCTTGACCACAATCTCGCCTGATGGAAAGCGATGATGAGGCCTAGGATGGTACACGCATACATTAATACATTATAATTAATTTTGAATCAAATTAATGGAAATAAAAATATTATTCATATTAGAATATTGATAACGAATATAAACTAAAACATGTTGACTTCATTAACTTTGGATTGCATTTTCCTGACGTTAAAAAAATACTGCATTCCCCTAAGAGTAAGAGTGAGGTAAGGCAAAGCGGATTATCCAACTTTAATTAGAGCCCTCGTTTGGTAAAGTAACCTTCAATCTTTTAAAAAGAGTATAGTGAAATAATCCGACCTTCTTGTTATATTGCGTCTCTGTCGTTGTATAAGGTTCTCGGGCTCCAAGGTCACTGCGGACTCACTATACTACTGGCCACCTACCATTGGTCATACTTTTGATAGGGTGGTGGATATAAATCTATACTGCTGGAATGTAAGAATTGTAGGTGTATCACATTTGTCTGCTTACATAAACTGACTTGGCAACGGGTTTGTACATGCTGTGACGGTCGCTGGGTTTGTAGTAAATGAAGCCACACTGGATAATTTTGATGAACTGTATTTCTTTAATGTAATTTTAACAAGTGTAGTACAGTGGCCACTCTGGCGACGCACAAAACGTAACTGAACTCATTCCAGTCACTTAATCCATTCATTCTCATGTATGTTTCATACACATGCCCTGACAAATTAGTAAAAAAAATATATATTGAACCTTAACCATTTAGACAAAGCTACTGCGTAAGTAGCAGTACACATAAAAAGGTCTGTGGAAGTGTGGCTTGTCTATGGTTTTACTAAAGAAGATTGCCGCTCAGTATTATACCATCAGTCCGATGGAGCAAAATGCCTTGTATTGAATGAAACTCAATCTTATCGTTATCACCAGCCCACCACCTAATAATATAGGTAACAAATTTGAACGCTCTTTAAAAGCTTCTTCACCTATGTGCTTCTTAGTGAAGATTTTGAGTGAACATAATTTATTTCTGAAGTTATATAGTCGAAAATTATGTCATTGTTTGTTTACATTAATAAAAAAATATATGTTATCATATTATATTTACAGTATATAGTTTACGTATTTAATGTAGAAAGTTTTCAATACAACGAAAGAGGTTGTAAAAGTTAAAAAAATCTCATTGCCACAACGCCGGCATACGGTTCAACTCGTTAAAAATTTCGCAACTGGAAAAATGTACGCTTTATTCCTCTTCGTAATACTATCATACTTTCTGAATGTTGAAGATTAAATTTTCGAGTGGCAAAATAATAAAAGGTATGAAGCACCTCCAGTTACCTGTGTGTGAAAGCAACTTTTGCACTGAATGTTATTATGAGAATATAAAATACCACTAAAAATATTTTCCCTGGTTTCGACCTCATTTCAACACGGGTCTTAAAAGAACTTCCTAGAAAATGTATCGCCTTCCTGGCATGTCTGTTTAACGTCATATTTAGGACGTCTTGTTTCCCAGCCATATGGAAGATCTCTAAAGTCACACAAAGCAGGAAAACCTTTACATGTGCCTACATCCTACAGACCCATTAGCTTGACGCCTACACTCTCTAAGCTGTGGGCAAAGATATTCCTTACTCGCCTTAAATTTTGCATGGATAAATGTGACCTCTCCCTTGGATGTAACCAGCCAGGCCATGTCTACGAAAATTTCATAAGCCATCACTTCGTCCGCATCCGGACCCATCTTCATTGCGGTTTCCCGCATTTCTCCTACTGAAACGGAAAGGACTGAACCGGGGTTCCCTTCGCAGGCCTTCTCCGCTGTCTACTTCAGGAGGATAACGTCCTCGTAGAAAGAGTCAGGCAGACCACAGTAAAAATTAAGAAGACATCAAAAAGTACAGCTTAATTGGTACAGGCTTTCAGAAAATATTATCTTATATATGTTCACTAGTGGCTCGCCTCGCTTCGCTTCGGGGTAGATAAAATAAATCCGACTACCACGAAAGTGTCTATTCATTTTTGGGTCAATATTATATCCCTCTGGCTTTATATTGGTAAGAGAATTTTAATCATCGGTTCAGTTGATCCAGAGATTACCCCCTACAACCTCTCAAACTGTACTCGTACCTCTTTATAATATTAGTATAACTAGATATTATATTCGGCATTTGGTTCTAATTTATTTAAAACCAAATGCCGAAAATTATAATTTTGCAATTTCTTCGACATTGTTCAACTTAATAGTTGATATGGACAGAACAGCAACATTTCACCCATTCGCCACGGAGCCCCATAAACTCAGAGGAAATCGGTTTTTGATAGTAAAAAATATACTTTCGCAGTATCATTTATTGTGATGATAAATTAATAAATATCCTGGTAGACACGCAATTAATTTTCCGAACAAGTATCTCGTCAAAGTTTAAAAGTTAAGTGCTCCTTACCGGTACATCTTTTAGAGTAGGTAAGAACAAGAAATTGAGCCTCTTGTGAAGAAAACTTGAGGGTTTCTCGAGTGTAAAAGGAATCTTTAATAACATTAAATGAAGCACTGTCTGAGAACACTACTTTTAATGGGCGGGTTTGATGACTACGAAGGAAAATATTTCAAGAGAATGTTTTCAAATTTAATTTTAAACTTTACGAATTGTTTTGGTATATTATAACGAAGTTTTAAAAGTACATACAATTAGTAGATGAGGCGACGTTATAAGATACGATTTTATAGTCGCCTCATTCTGGAATGACTCTAAACATAAGGTTTAAATTGCCAGTATTTCTCTGCTTTTACCCGACGCGACTGTGCGAGTAGGAGGTTTATGTTTCATAGTGTATGTTTTTTGGGACGCCCTGTAGCAGGTGGTTTATCTTTTACAGATAACCTATATCAGTTAGCACTCCCTGTAGCATATCCACTTAAAAAACCGGCCAAATGCGTGTCGTGCCACGCGCAGTGTAGGGTTCCATAGTTGTTTGTCGTCACCACAAAATATTTTGAAAAGAGTCTATATTTTAAACAATTACTTCGTCTAAGTTACTTTTAAAGTTTTCTTCTAAGGAAATTTTATTAGGACAGAAATTTTGTAATACAAATCTATTTTAACCATTATAATTTACATTGAAATTTAATGAAAAGTACTATAATATAATCAAGCATTTTTTGATTTGTGGTCACGTGTCCGAATACGTCTAAGATTGGCGAAGCCTAAAATGACGTCACATGCTTGTAAATATGCTATCGTAGGCGCATTACTTTGTATTATTTGACGTTTTAATGAGAGACGTGTAACGTCACCTGCCCGTAAGACGTCATATTTGTTAGAGAAGCGTTTCCGTGGCATATTTGAAAACAGAGTTTTTTGTTTTCGTTTTTGTACTGATATACTTAACAAAATGATAAATATACATTTTTATTGGAATAACAATACTCTAATAAATAACGTATGAACGTTTTTAAAATTTTTATCAGTTAGCCTATAAGTGGAAACCAACCAATCTGTCCCAATAATGGTTTAGCGAAATTACCTAGGTGCTGACAAAGCGTTCATTCAACACGAACTAATGTGTTTAACTAGGTAACTTGCATTACTGCAGCAGAGCTTGTTTGGTGGATTAAGGAGGCTAAGTGAGTGACTGCATGTGAGTTGAATGTTTGTTAGGGGACTTATCAGGTGCTATTTAAAGTTTTTGTCCATTTAAAATAGAAATAGGTCTCCATTTAAAATAAGGTATTATATTTTTATTTAAAGGATTTAATTCCTGGATGGTTAAACCTAAAGAAAATTTAACTAGAAAAAAATAAGCATGAAATTTTTTTATAGGTATGACTCTCCCTCTGTAATTGAATGGTACCCTACGGGGTCCATAATTAAATAATAAAAATGTATTTATAAAATAAATGCATAAAAAATCGTTACATCTTGTGGAACGCAACAAAACATTAAGTATTATTGCCCTTTGTCAATCTTTTCTTGGGGATACCTTTATTGTATACTGTAGATTTACATAAAACATCATTATACACATCTTTTGCGAAATTACCACACCTGTAGGTTATTACATTATCAAGCATTAAACCACATCTATGTTATTTCTACGAGTATAAGTCACTGTCTTATCTCACTCAATAAACTAAATAAAAAACGCACATATTAATATAATTAAAATATTTACTTTGATTATTTAATCTCAAATTATTATTTTTGTTACAGGATCCACTGTGAAGCTTCGCGATAAGTCAACAGGTAACATTTTTAAATATACTTTAAATAAGAAGGCCGCTGTGTTTGATACATAGTTAAAATGTGACTATTATAATTATTCTCGTACTATAGTTAAAATACTAAAAATAACCATTTGTCATAATTGATACATTCTACTATGTATGACATGGCATTGATTACTAGTTAAATTTAACTACGTACCTATCAAACAACGCAGCCTGTCGAAATATCTTTAATAAACTTCCTATCATCGTAATAAAAGATCACATCATCTAGTTCTAATAATTATGACTTGTAGATAGAGATACCAAGTGTAAACGTAGTACTTGAAGATTATCAGGACAGATCTTAATTAGAGGTTTGAGAAAAAAATGAGCAAGTCAGTTAACATGACAGCTTGTCTTTTTGTGTCTGTTTGGTGTTAGGAAGGAATCAAAATGTATTTAGAAAATACAAGATTATGTTGGTAGTAATCATATTAAAATAAATAACAAAAAAATTCAAGATACTAGTACTAGTTTCTGAATTATTTTTTCGAAGAGGGAATGGGTCGAAATTGGGAAGCGACGACCGAACGGTGTGAATTGTTTTTTAAGCAGTTAGCCGTGCTTAAACCGTATTGTGAATATTTGATTGAATTAAGTAGATACCTACATAATTTAATATGGCAAAGAGCAATAGTCCATATTGTGCTCTTTTTGGTTGCTTGACTCTTCAATAATTAAACTTTTTATACGAATGCGTATTTATTATACTATTAAATTAAATAATAAAGCTCTTCGTACGTCTCAGTCGAGGCGTAAATATTTTTCTGTCTCAAATCTATATATTTTTTTATATTTTTATTTTATTTATATTTTTTACACTTAAAATAACATGTATTTTATGTAACACTTCCTAATTCATTCACAACATTTTTTTAACATATGAAATAAAATATTTACAATCACAAAACTAGAAAGAAATTCAATTATGTAGATGGATGCCCTACCGCGTGGATACGCCCCGCTCGGTCGTAGGCAGTTATTTCAAGGATAGGGCCGAGTCTCAATACTGTATAGATAATATTACCGTGCCCGCGGTGTTCTGGTAAAATCGAGAGCGTTTGTGATAATACGGTCCTCCTGATGGTAAACGATCACCATAGCGAAACTTGCGATACCAAAAATATCACTGGCGCCGTTGCACAATGCCCTGGATCAGGAAAACCCCGGAGCCCGGGAACCTTACTCACCGACAAAATCACAACCACCAAAAGGTAGTGTTATTGACATTTGGTCTTTTGTAGAGTGGGGGTTACTTTGCCAGACGGGCGCTTTAACAATAATACTTTTATTAATTGCGTATTGCAATTAGCTGATTGCAATACGCAAAAATAAGGCTTAATAAATACAGTTCATTTAGAGCGCGGAACAATGAATGTGATAACGCGATGAAAAATGTACGTGAAGACAACCTCATCTGGATAAGTAAGCTAAGCATTTATATTTAAAGGCATTCATATTTAAAACATACATTATATGAAGGCCTCTAATGCCTTCATAATATATGTTTTAAATATGAATGCCTAATATAAATTTTAAGGTACCTACTCTATTTTTGATGATGGTTTTAATAAATTTAAGAAGACCTCAACTAATGCCAGAACTTCATTTGGCTATTTGTATTTGGTATTTGTTAACTCGCCGGAGGGATATTCGCAACAATATTGACAGATCGAAAGTATTCAAAAGCCTTATATATTTTTTTTTGCAACAATGAATCTTCGTAGTATTTTAATAATGTTGTAGGTAATTTATCAAGTTAAAATATGATGGGGCTGGCATGTCTTTTATGTTAGGAATAAATCTCTAAATATATAAGATTAAAAAAATCTTGACAACAGTCTGTCCCTATCACGCTTTATAAATGAAAAGGCAGATTGATTTCAATTTTTCAAATAGCAAATACGAATGGCACAGTGAAGTGCCGGCATGAAATTTATAAAATAAGTAAAACCACATTATTAGATTCTTAACCGTTTAAAGATATTTCAATTACTTAAGTACTTATTCAGATGAAAACATGAACTTCTTTTTTTAAGACGATTTTTGAGTTAAAACAATATCAGTCCGGGCCATTATCTGAGATTCATTTCCGCTTCGTTGGGGACGAAAATGAAAAACAAAATATTACGACAACCTTTTTATTATTCGGCGAAAGAAAGATATAAACAATGTCCTTTAAAAAAACTCATCAAGGTTATAAAGGTCCGATGACTATACAATATCTGGAATATGAAATATATGTTATACTTATAAGCTACTAGCGGCCCGCCCTCGCTTCGCTTTCGTGTAGAGCTGTAGTGTGTCTATAATATTTTTATCTTCTTCTATTTTTTTTTAAATTATATTAAGAGTCATTTTAGTCTTAAAATGACTCTTAATATAATTAAAAAAAAAAACTGAAAATGGTATATTTGCCTTTTCCAAACTTCTATTGACATCACGTCACTCAATTGTTTTGCCTTTCCGGAAACTCTCCACTAAATATTGAAAATTATGATGTGGTATTTAGTTCAAATTAACTTTAACGTATTATTACGAATCGTTTGTTTGGGAGTATAGAAAAGTGTTGTATTTGGACATTTTCAGGCATTTTTTAAAAATTTTCTTTGCGTAAGAACCAGCCTCGTGCTTCAAGGAATATTCAAAAAAAAAAAGAATTATTGAAATCGGTTCAGCTTATCTCGAGATTTGCGCTTAGCAACACATTCAGCGATTAATTTGTATATTATAGAAGATAAGTCTTTGTCTTCTGACGGGTTTCTTTTATAATGGGTTTAAATTTCTATATTGAGAAGTATTCTTTAAAGAAATTGCCGGATCATTTAGTATTATTATTGAAACTGGTTTATAAATATCACACAAGACAAATAAATACACAGCAAAAAACTTTAAAAACAAATTAATCGCATGTCTAGTCATCCAAAACAAGTTTGATTACTTAAAGAGATTTTTTCCAAGATACAAATTAATCAAGTCTAATTAAATTGAAAATTGTTACGTTCAATTAGAGGCAGCGATAACTTTTACAAACAGATTAACACTGTTTAGAGTCGTTGACCTTTCAAAGAGATTTAAAGCTTCTATTTGCTTGAATCATAATACAATGAAAGTTCATGCAACTTACATTTAGGTGCATGTGAGTAATCTAGTATTTATTAAATTAAGTTATTTTCTTTGAATTCTAATCTAATTCAAATTTATATAACGTATTAATAATGATTTATGCCTGGAATCTGCTATGACGCGGACTCTTAGAGAAACTGTTTTTTTGGTCAAAAACATTAGAAGACGTATGTACCTTATTTTTATTTCTTCTTGGGTATCGGCGGAACATAATTCATAATTTTTATCTGAATAAATTGATGGTTTTGATCAGGATTAACTGCTATAACTTAGTGTAAAAATAAATACAATACTTAATGATCAAACAGCAGAGCATCTTCTGCGTTTCGCTCTGAATATTTCTTTGATCGCGTTCGTGCGAATATATTTTAGGGTTCTGTACACCTAGCACGAACCATTATCGAATTCGAATAGTTTGCAAGTTCGAAATGTCATTGTAAAATTTTGTACGGAATCTTGAACAGAAGCGCCACCACGGACGTAACGAGAACTAAAAATCAGTACACATTTGACAATGACATTTCGTACTCGCAAATGATACGAATGCGATATTGGTTCGTGCTAAGGGTACTGTACCCAAAAAGTAATAACGGAACCCTATTATTAAGACTCTACTGTCCTTGTGTCTGTCTGTCTGTCTGTCACCGGGCTGTATCTCCTGAATCGTGATAGCAAGACAAATGAAATTTTCACAGTTGCAATAACAACGAATACTAAAAACAGATTAAAATTATTACTTAGGTTTGGAGATTTTGCCGTTTTTTGCTTGATATTAATAACGGCAATAGGTAGACTCGTTACATATTCACAGAATATTTGTATTTTCACTTTATAAATATAAAAATAAATAATTATATTAAGATAAAATAAATATTTAAGGAGGCCCCCATATAACAGACGTGATTTTTTGCGGTTTTTTGCTCGATATTATAATAAAGTGTCTAATGTCGCTAATGGTACGGAATCTTTCGTGCACGACTCAAACTCGCACTAGTCCGGTTTTTTTAATTTTAATCAATTCGCGGCGCACGGTTTTTCGCGCACCGATGATGTTCCAAAAACATCGAGAGCTAAATTGATCCGTTCTATTTAATGTTTAAATGGAACTTGAGGTACGGAAACCGCTACTTCGACAATGTTCTGCTGTACTCCTAGTGCTGTTTTGTTTGTCAAGATTTCTAAACCTCGTGAAGGTAGAAATGAAAATGAAGTTTAGGTTGTGCGTAGCTTGATCTGGGAACGTATTATGAACAGAAACGAAATTTGATTGAATTAAGAATTCGATTAAATTCCTTTTTAACAGACGATAAAAGCGGAGGAATAGTTAGGGAGCTCATTGATTCCTTGGCGCTGCGCTCATAATTTCTTAACTGTACATTAGTTTAAGCTAAGTTTAAAAAAGGAGAGCTTCGAGTAAGTTTAAAAATGAGAAAAAGCTGAAAAGTAAAAAATTTTTTACATCTCATCTTTTTCTGCGGTATATTTTTTGAAGTGAAAACTACTTTAGCGGCATTGTACACTTTTTTTGGGTAAAAAATATTAAACTCGCGTCAGGACACGTGGGCTGATCGCGTCATGACGCGTGGCCTGGTCGGGGATCTGACGAAAACAATAAAATTGGAAAGGTTGTTGACTTTTAATATATTGGACGAAATATAGTGATATTGTATTTTGTCATATTATAATAATAAGTCTCTATCTAGGACGTCCAGGTGGTAGCTTTATTGGGAAGAAAATGCATTTTTGTACAATAGACATCGCTAGGTGCGCTTAAATGTGATTCATTAAGTTGATTTTTCTGAGAGATACATTTTCTTAATATAATATAAATTGTAATGTTTGTGTACGATA